GGGGCTCTGCCCGCCTCCTCCAGGCTCTTGGTTTGAGGTGCTGGTGTTGCACCAGGCGTAAGATTCACAGGCCGCCGGTGATGCTGCGAGGGGTTAACTTTCAAGTACCTCCACACAGCCCTGTGGCAAAGACTTCTTGCTCCTTCCCTGCCCAGAGCTGACCCCACGCAGCAGCTCCCTTGGGATATCCCGGTACTGCCCTGCAGGGTGTGGCTGGTGCTGCAGATGGGAAAAGGAGAGCGTGGGTTCGGGTTGAAGACAGGGTGTAGCCCTGAATGGGGTCTGCAGGCTGGGGGCTGGATTCCTTCTTCTACCACTGTGCAGTGGCTGCACGTGTGGCTACCACACAGAGCGGCCCAGTGTGAGCACGTAGTGTCAGCTGGCAGTGGGTTTATGTCCTGCTCTGTGCTGGGCTCTGGCTGGTACAGTGGCACAGAGACACTGCAGCTGGCTGCACGGGTCTGCAGAATCCCACAGTGACTTGCCCTGACTCTCTCTGTCTCACCAGCATCCATCAGCTGAGGAACAAGGTATCAGAGGAACATGAGGTCATCAAGAAGAAGGAGCTGGAGACTGGCCCCAAGGCCTCTTATGGTTATGGGGGCAAATTTGGAACAGAGCGGGACCGAATGGATAAGGTAACAGTTGTAGAGGGCTTCCTTGGGTCCCAGTGGAAAAGTCGTTTTCTCATAAAGGAAAGAGCATCCCTGTTTTCTGGCCTGACCCTGAAAGGAGAGAGTGGAGAGGTGGCACAGCTGCGCAGATTCACACATGTCTAGCTAGTCCATAATCTGTTCACAGGATCTGTTTGAATGCATTTGTGTGATTTGTCTCTACAGCTTCCTTGCAACACTCCCCTCAGCTGTGAAGAAGGACTTTCTGTCACTTGTTTCAACCTGTTGCATAACAATTGAATTAGGTGCCTCCCTATTTGTGCTTGGAGTACTAATGAATAATAATTCCCTTCTCACATTCTCCATTACAGACCTCTGTCATATCTCCCCAGGATGAAGCCCTAGTTCATATTCTCTGTTCTCAGATCAAATCTGTTTTGTGTTTTCTGATAATCATCATCACGCTTCTTCCTGTACCTTGCAGCATTTAATACTTTGGGTTTTTTCAGAAGTGAGATGATAAGATTGAAGTAGTAGTCAATATATGGGGTCACCTGTGGGTATGTGGGATACTAGGGTGGCAGGGTGAGAAACACATGTTTCTAGGAGGCCAAAATGGAGCAGCTATGCTCAAACCCTACTGCCGGAGCAGAGTGAGGATGTTTTTGTGGAGCAGCTCCTCAGCCCTTGTCCAGTGTTACCAGGATGTTGCAAGCGTCCAGCCTCTGGCCCTTCTCCTGAGGAATGTGCAATCCCTGGCCACACCACCTCCTCCAGGGAGCAGCGGGGGACCCTGGCCTGGCCTGTGGTAGGCATAAAGGGTGATCCCAGCTAGGTCTGCTGACCCTCACTCTCAGACACAGAAGACAGGGAGCAGTTGACAGACCTGGCTCCCTGTGGGTTTTTAGTTGTGCATGCCTATCCGCACTTTTCTCCTCAGTTTCTCCATGTGACTATCCACCACTCCACTGGCATTTGGGAGTGGCAGGTATTCAGCATCCTACAGTTTGCGTGATGAGCTGGAAGTGGGGCCGGTTGTGTGGGATGGCTGCCTTTGAAGCTGTAGCATAGGTCTCAGAGCAGAGCTGGTACTGGCAAAGGCTGTGCAGAAGGCATCACCACCACCAGCATGGTCTATTTGGACCTGTCCCTTCATGGCTGCAAGCATCTCAGTGGGGGACAGAGCAACTGTGTGGTGCCTACATCTCTCTCCACCCTGCCAGTCTGTGGGTGCTCATGTCATGCTCTTTCTCTCCTCAGTGCGCAGTGGGCCATGAGTACATTGCTGATGTTGGGAAGCACTCCTCGCAGACAGATGCAGCCCAGGGCTTTGGGGGGAAGTACGGAGTCCAGCGGGACCGAGCTGACAAGGTGTGTTGGACAGGACAGCTGAAATACCTACTTGTGGCCTATGCTCAGTGCTGCCACTAAAGCACTGTGCTACATTCAGGATTGTGGCTGCAGTTTTCAAAGTAATGGTGGGTGCAGGTCTAGGCATGCCGTGCACCACGGTCTCCACTGATCCACTGAAGCAAGCAGCTCACCTCCTGCCTGCAGGACAATGACTGATAACAAATTGCAGGGTACTTGTGAAGCTTAACTCTCTGGTGTGCATTACATGCTTGCACTGCCCTGTCAAGGCAGTGCTGTGTTTGTCTTGGGGTCTGTGGTGTTTTGCATCTCCAGACCCCTAGGCTGTGCCATGCATAGTGACTGGCCGTGGCAGGACTGGATGGGGACAGCAGGATGCTGTCATGCTGGTGCACATCGTGGTGTCAGACGCTGCCCAGCTGCCTTGCCTGCTGGCAGGGGGTGGAGTCAGGGGTGTGGCCCTCATTCCTGGGG